TGATGTGATATGAGTAGTATGTACATACATGCAACATTAAGTATAATCCTTTGGTTTATAATTTTACAGAAGTCCTTTCAAGACGGAGAGTGGACTGGCACAGTGACAGGGTATACCTTCACTATTCATCTCCAGTTCAGTGTAGGGAAGTGATTAGTAATCTTAATATCAATTATAAGAGGATTGACCTCTACTCCTTATCTACTAATAGTACAGTGTCACTATTATCATCAACTAAACTGCAAACGCTAAACCTGAGGAAACTTGAGATACAGTACACTCCATTAACTAATGATTGTATCCAGTACTTGTGTATTCTCCTAACTAATAATAAAACAATACAAGAACTAGTCATTAGGTCCCACTCCATTAGTGATAGAGGAGTAACTAATATCTGTCAAGCACTTAAACACAAATCTACACTTACCTCATTAGTTCTTTATCACAATCCGCTCATCACTTCTACTAGTGGACAGGCTCTTTCTTACCTCCTCCTCAATAACTCATCACTAGATCTATTGGATCTACGAAGGACATCATTGTCTACTGAGTCAATATTACTCATGTTTCAATCACTTTCCAATAATAGAAGTATCACAAAACTCTGGCTAGACGAGCGACACAAAGAGGCTTGCATTAACACTTATCCTAACTATCACTTCATACAAGGCAGAGTATGCTGGGTGGACTAACCAGTCTTCATGTGAACTGCAATACACTAAAAAGTGACACTTTTTTACAGTTTTAATTTATTTTATGTACAGTAATTTTAGCCTGTTATCAATTAGTGTATAGAGCATTTGCTTTCAAAAATTATTGAACACTTGGTCGTATTAAAGGACTCTATTTCAATTGTATGTGCTTTGTTTCTTTCTTTCTTTATCTCCTATCCTACGTCTAAATACTCTTATTGTTATTATTAATAATAAATATCTTACATAGAATGTTTACCATACCATACCTATATACAGCTTAAAATATTAGTAAGAATTATTATGATTATTTTGTTAATGGTTATGCAGACAAAACTGACAATTTTGCAGCCATGCACATCTGAGATTGTGTTACTCTAAAATGAACTAAAATGGGGTTTGACACGGGCTGTTTTGTCACTGGTACTTTCAAAAATCCAGTATACAAGGAAATAGTGTATCATTCCATTTTGATACTGGTAGGAATATTTTGCTACAAAAACTGAAATTCCAAAATCACACATTCATGACCATGACAATGTCCCAGTATAATTTGCAAGGTATTAATGAAAATTTTTAAAAGGTAGGATTTACAGAAATTAAAAATTTTTTCATATACATTATGTCAACAGTACATTATATTAAGTTATTGTGTACTTTTATATACCTTTAGGTATTGTGTATACTCTTGACAAATTTATACTGCATACATAATTTTTAATTAGAACTGATTATTATGATCATTTACAAATCTACAAAACTATTAGTATATATTATTACCATAATTAATACTAATATTTTACAGTTATTGGCATCATTTAAAACATCTTATTGGGTCCATGAGGTTTGGAATAATCAGTCACTAGCCAGATTATTGATAATAAATTATGTATAGTTACATATACACTTGTAAATTTGGTGTATAGCCAAAAAATTTTAAGGACAAACTGTTTTTGCAAAGCTTAAGACAAACATGACATCACAAAAATTTACAAGTTTAGTCCCTCAAAAACGTCTAGCTACCTTAAGGTTACTTTTAAATGCAGGTACTATTAGTTGCAAATTTTGCGCTTGGGTTAGAAATCGCAATTATTAATACGCGCAATTATTAATAATGACATCATGATGCCATATAACTATTAGTAATAATTACTTAATCGCAAATTTTAATACCAGCAAAATCTACCTTGTGCTGAAATCGCAAAATGTAGCAGTTAGTACCCGCAATTAAAAGTCACTCTAAGGTAGTTGTTCCATATACATACTGACAATGATGGTTCGTGTAGTGATTGGTTGCTCTATAATACCAAATCCAGGAGTGTTATACAAGTCCCTGAAGTAGCCACTAATAACAACCCTCTTGTTATTACACTAGAAGTAATGTTATGGTTAAAAATGCCTGCATACTATACATAGGTTACTATGAAATTTAAAGCATTTGAGTATTTTTTTAAAATTATTCCCTTACTTTATATTGTCCCACATAAAGAGGATCAAATCTCAATAATGTGGTATAGAGTCTAACATCAGCTTCAGTTATAGATACTCGGTCCAGTCAAGTAATGTTATGATGATAGGATACCCTCAATTAATGCAATCCAGAGACTTAAATACTTCCCTCACTGCTTTATCATAGGCATCTTGAGCTGTAGCAAACCCTATATACTGCTGAACTAAGACCGCTGTAGAGAAATATAGTATATACTTAGTAATCATAGTATATGTTACATTTGATATGTACACGTAATTGTACTTATTAAAAATGATGCATAAATAATAATAATTATGACAGTGTAACTTATTACCCAAAGTAGGGTTTCTGTTTCCCATAGGGTTTTGGCATAATACTCAGGTATATAAATGTCAGTGGATTAAAATTAATACACACATGTGTAGACGTACTTAAGTTTTGTAGAAAGTGTGAACTGGTTCTAAAAAAAATTGGATTTTTTTACAAATTATTAAATTTGCTCCAAACTTGAGCCAAAGACCCTGCATGTACATAGTAGTTGCAGGGGTATAATAACATCTACATATTAACTTTTCTTTGTTAAGGCTTTAGTACCAAGTTCTTGTTCAAGGTGTAAGATTATTTAATATCTGCCTCTTTATAGGGTGGGTGCAGCCTCCACATGCTGCTGCTTGGGATCAGTGGTTTATTTTTAGGTGCTGCTAGTGATGCCAAAAGCATAACAAGTTAATTATACTATAGTCTTATAATGGCAATTTAATTGCAGATCACTTGTCATTGCCAATGCTAGTGTTGCTAAATAAACACTTCATTACATATGTACTTCATTGGCCAAATTTTGTCAAAAATGAAAAGGAGAGAATTCTAAAATTTTTAAATATTTTTTCCTGATGCATATACATATTCATAGAAAGTTTGAGCCAATTTTCAAACAAAATTAAAGTTTTTTACAAATTGTTGAAGTAGTGCAATTGGTCCAAAAACCCAGGACTTTGACCAAATTTTTCCAAAAATGAAAGAAACAAATTCTTCATTTTTATAGCTATTTTTGATACAAAAAATTGTACTTATG